TCAGCTGTTGTACAGCATGCACCGCAGCTTCGCCGTCTCGGACTTGAGCGACGCCACTTCCACGCGGAGCTTGAGGTTCTCCTGCTCGAGGAAGGCGGCGCGGATCGCGATCTCGTCCTCCTTGGCTCTGCGGGCGTCGCGGGACCGCTTGGCCGCCTCGTTGTTCTTGCGGCGCCGCTCCCAGTAGGCCTCGTCCTTGACGCCGTCACCGCTCGCTCGCCCGCGGCGCTTGGTGCCGCCGCCGCCGTTGCCGCCGCTGCCGCCGGAAGACGTGCAGCTCTGCATCTCTCCTGCGTCGAACCCGTCCTCCCTCGCCCTGGCCTCCGGCGCGTCCCCCACGAAATCCTGGCTGGAGTCCATGTTGGAGTCCGCCGCGTCAGCGCCCTTGGCGTCGCCGCTGCCTTGGCTCGACGTGCGTGACGCCTGCGAGCGCCGCGCCTTCGCCGACGTAACCTGCGCCAGCATCTGGTCCCGGAATCGCGAATAGGCCTCGTTGCTCTCCGCGTTGAGCGCCGCCTCGCCCTGCGCGCCGCCCATTCCTCCGGGCATCGCGCCCCTGCCGCCCATCACGCCGCCGAGGCTTCCCGGGCCGCCACCGCCCCCGAGGCCCCCGCCGAGGCCGCCCACCAGACCGTCCAGGGCGCCGAGGCCGCCGGGGGCGTTCGGGCTGGCGGAGCTCATGCTGAGCGCCCCCGGGCCGAGCAGGCCGCCGCCGCCCCCGAGCCCGGAGCCCGCGAGGCCGCCCGGCCCCAACCCGGGCCCCCCAAGGCCTCCTCCCCCAAGACCCGAGCCTCCCAGCCCGCTCCCCCCGAGGCCTCCTCCTCCCAGACCTCCCCCCCCGAGGCCGACGCCCCCGAAGCCGCCTCCGCCCAGTCCCGCCGCCCCGGGCAGGCCGCCGAGGCCCGCAGGCGCGCGCGCGAGGGCGGGGTGCAGGGGCGTCGGCGACGAGGACGCCGCGGGGTAGTCCATGGGCGGCGGCGAGGAGCTGCGCGCCGGCAGGTGCGTCTTGAAAGGGTGGCCGCCCATCTTGGACTTGCTTAGGGCGGACTGCAGCGTGGAGAAGAGCAGCGGGTTGGAGTGGAGCTGCGAGAGGAGCGTGGAGTTGAGGGCGGCCGCGGGCGCGCTCGCGGGGGCGTGCGCCAGGTGGGCGTGCAGCTGCTGCTGGAGGGAGCCCAGGTGCGGCTGGAGGCCCCTGGGCGGGCTGGTGGCCATGGGTGAGGGGGGGCCGTGCAGGCCGGAGGGCGACGCCGGCCGGTCGGGGGACGCGCTGGTCACCGAGACGCCCGACTCGGAGGAGCGCGACCACACGGGGCGCTCGGGGGCCAGGTTGAGGGCGCCGCCGCCCTCCTCCGGCAGGCTGCAGCGGTCGCTGTCGCTGTTCTCGCCGGCGTCGCTGGCGGGGGACATCTTGCCCTTCTTGGTCGAGAAGTCGAGCGGCTGCAGGTCCGCGTGCGCCTCGAGGTACAGCTCGGGCGAGGGCGACATGCGCGGGGGGTGCATGAGGGGGTGCAGCGCCCCCAGGCGGAACCCGCCCGCGGCCGCCGCCAGCAGGCCGCCGGTGCCCAGGCGCTCGCTCATGGCTGCTGGAACGAAGGGACGCATGAGGCTCGCGAAAGAGAGGCGGCGAAAGGAGGATGATAAAGAGCCAGAAGGAGAACAGGAACGATAATAGGGAATACAGCTCTCGGAATGGCAAGAGTGGGCTAAGAGTGATGAAAATAGATTAGACAATGCTAATGATAATATTGATAATAATAGTGATAACAGTGATGATAACGACAATGATAGTAATAACAATGATAATTGATAGCATTGACAATAATGATGAAGGTAATAATGATAATGATAATATCAATAGCAGTGATAATAGTAATAATAATCATAATGATAATCATTATGTTAATAGTAATATTGATAATAATAATAGTAATGATAATAGAAATAATAATGATAACAGTAATAATAATAATGAGATAGTAATTACAAAGCAATATAATAATAACAGTAATAGTAATAGTAATAACAATAGCAGTAGTAGAAGTAATATAATAATAATGATAATAATGACAATAGAAATGACAATAGCAATAATAATAATAATAGTAATAATAATAGTAATAATGATAGTAATAGTAACAGTAATAATAATAATATAGTAATAACGATAATAATAATGATAATAATAATAATAATAATAATAATAATAATAATAATAATAATGATAATAATAGAATAATATTGAAATAATAATAATAATATTGAAATAATAATAATAATAATACCGATTATAACAATAACTGTAACAACCACCACCCTTAATGCAATGATATTAACACATCACAATAATACCATGAGAGATATATCCCGATAAAAAAATAAACACTTAAACAAATAAATAAAAAAAACAAGACAATAACACCGAATAAGAAGTCCCTAAGGTCGATTATACCTGTGTAGAAGTAAGGCACAAGTGACCTTTCGACTTCAGCGTTCGAGTTCG